ATTCCCCCCTCCCATTTTTTTGAATCCCCTTATGATTCATCACCCCAAACTCAATCCCAGCCTTCCCTTTGTGGTATGGTACCTTGCAGTACAATTTCAAAGAGATCCATACACTAACAAGTTATTGTCATGAAACTAGAAAATGCTTGTTTTTTGCCCCTTTTTTGGCCCCTTATACCTAAAATTTTGAGGCAATTACACCAAAAATCAATCTCAGCATTCCCTTTGTGATATGGAACCTTGTGGTACAATGTCAGAGAGATCCATACACTAACACACAAGTTATTGTCTGGAAGTTACAAAAATGCTTATTTTTGGCCCCTAATTTCATAACTGTTGGTACCATACCCCCCAAAGACAATCCCAACCTTCCTTTTGTGGTATTGAACCTTATGGTAAAATTTCATAGAGATCCATTCACTTGAACTAAAGTTATTGTGTGAAATCCAATGTGTCTTTGGACGACGACGACGCCAACGTCATACCAATATACAACCGCAAAATTTTTTTGCAGTCGTATAAAAACTTAACATTGACCAATGAACCATGAAAATGAGGTCAAGGTCAGATGATACCTGCCAGACAGACACCATACAATCATTCCATACACCCAACATTCTTGACCTACTGGTATTACTTATAGTACTTGAAAAACAGTCCAAAACACAATAAAATGCTCCGCTGGGCGCAGCTTGATACGACCACAGAGGTCGAACCCTGAACAGTTGGGGCAAGTATGGACACAACATTCAAGCTTGATACAGCACTGAATTTGGATTGTGATTAAATATTTGACACAGCATAGGTTTCTGACACAGAATGAATGTGGTCTAAGAACTAGAAAATTTCTAATTTACCTATTCTAACCATATCAATATTATTTGCTTTTTTATATAAATCAGAATTAACCAATTTAAAATGAAAAATTATAAAGAAAAAAAAGGAAAAAAAAATCCCCCCTCAAATTTTTTGAACCCCTCATGATTCATCACCCCCAAACTCAATCCCAGCCTTTCCTTTGTGGTATGGTACCTTGCAGTACAATTTCAGAGAGATCAGTACACTTGAACACAAGTTATTGTCTGGAAACTAGAAAAATGCTTGTTTTTTGGCCCCAAATTCCTATACGTTTAGGGCAATTACCCCCACACTCAAACCCAGCTTTCCCTTTGCGATATGGAACCTTGTAGTACAATTTCATAAAGATCAATACACTTACACACAAGTTATTGTCCTGAAACTAGGAAAATGCTTTTTTTTGCCCCTTTTTGGCCCCTTATTCCTAAAATTTTGAGGCAATTACCCCCAAATAATCCCAGCTTTCCCTTTGTGGTATGGTACCTTGCAGTACAATTTCAGAGAGATCCATACACTTGAACACACAAGTTATTGTCTGGAAACTAGAAAAATGCTTATTTTTGGCCCCTTATTCCTAAACATTTTAGGCAATTACCCCCAAACTCAATTACAGCTTTTCCTTTGTAATATGGAACCTTGTAGTACAAATTCAGAAAGATCCATACACTTCCACACAAGTTATTATCATGAAACTAGAAACATGCTTGTTTTTTGCCCCTTTTTTGGCCCCTAATTCCTAAAATTTTTGGGCAATTACCCCCAAAATCAATCCGAGCATTCCCTTTGTGATATGGAACCTTGTGGTAAAATGTCAGAGAGATCCATACCCTAACACACAAGTTATGTCTGGAAGTTACAAAAATGCTTATTTTTGGCCCCTTTTTGGCCCCTAATTCCTTAACTGTTGGTACCATAACCCCCAAAATCAATCCCAACCTTCCTTTTGTGGTATTGAACCTTATGGTAAAATTTCATAGAGATCCATTCACTTAAACTAAAGTTAGAGTGCGAAAACCAATGTGTCTTCATCCGACGACGACGATGAAGCCAACGTCATACCAATATACAACCGCAAAATTTTTTTGCGGTCGTATAAAAAGTTAACAATGACGGATGAACCATGAAAATGAGGTCAAGGTAAGATGAAACCTGCCAGACTGACATGTACCCATTACAATCATTCCTGACACCACATGTAGAGTTGACCTTAAATGATGTTAGGTAAAACTTTAAGATTTTAAAAACAAATGTTTCCCCAAACTTTCTGATATAAAAATAAGAAGATGTGGTATTATTGCAAATGAGACAACTCTCCATCAGAGATGGTTTGACCAAATGATGTAGAATTTAACAAAACCCATACAGCATAAGCTATAAAAGACCCCCGAAATTTCTGAGCATATAAATGAATTTTTCTAGAAACATGGTTTAATAAAACTGACTGTAATTTATCATTTTGATTCAAAATATCTCTCTTTCTCTCTCTCTCTTCTATAGAACTTGCATGATTAGAAAGCTTAAGGAAATGCCATTGGATTTAAAAAGTGAAAATTTATTCTTTTTGTTTTTAAAACGTAATAAATAAAGTTTAATCATTGTTGATGACATTTTGCAAAATCATAAAATGAAAATCCACTTTCAAATTATATCAAAACACTTGTTAATTTCAAATAAAACATATATTATTTACATAAATGTGAAAATGTGAAAAATTTTGGCATACATCATATAAAAATGAAATTGTATTTATCAAAAATGATAACAATTTACTTGAAAGTTAATATTTTCTTTATCATTTCTAATTTAAAATGTATTAGATATGAATAAGGGATGACTGTATACATACACTGCACAATTTGTGGTTACTTTAAAAAAGAAATCTAAAACACCATCTTTCTATTGAGAGATCAAAGACATTCATTTAAAACATCAATAACTTCTGATGTAAACAAAATTTAACCTTCTATGTCACTGCCACATTAATGTCTGTTCTTAGCAAATAAGAAATAAAAACAGGCCAAATAACTAAAACAAAACCAACATTTAATCTGTAATTGTAATAACCAATATATTTAATAGGATATATGTATTAGATGTAGTCTTCTCATATCCGAGTGGCTTCAGCCACGAAGATATGAGACAACTACATCTGATTTTCATAGAAGTAATAAATAAATATTTTATCTTTTTTCTTGTTCTCTTGTTCTAAAAAGAGCATAATGCCATTTATAGTTTTGATAAAACAGGAATAGTGTCATTATCTCAAATTTTCCAGATGCAGTAACACTTTCAGAAGATGTTTTGTAGTTATGGATTTGGAATGAAATCTGAATTGGGTCTATTTTTCTGTCATCAAATTGTTACCTTATTACTGCTTTTGAATGGCAATATGAATCACTGTACTATCTTGAACTTTTTTTGGCAATTAAACCAGATAGACCAGTGTGCCTCATATGATTTAAGTAACAAAGTTAGTTAGAAGAGTAGCAGTATGTTCCCTTGGAATTGCCTACTATCTATGTATTTAGTAATATTTTGTCATATTATTCATACTATTTTTTTCATTCAAAAGTGATATTTATTCACAAAATGATACATTACATTTTATAAGTAGTTTAACCTTTATATGTAATGTGAATGCATTTATACAAATTAAATGTTATTTGAAATGATGTATGAGGATAAAAATATTCGCCACAGCCACTAATTGATGGTATATACAAAGCTGAACAATATGATGGCTTTACAAAAACTGATTTCACATGCCACTAAATGGATTTATTAATCTGTCACAGTTCATACAATTTTCTTTCTGATTCAAAGGTAATACGGAAAACACTTACACAAAATAGTGTGAACTAGTTTAACCCTTATATATGTGGAGTTAGCGTCATTTTAACATAAAAATGTAGGAAGTACAAATTTATCATCCTCCATGGATTTACTACAATTGAAACCTCAAAGTAAACATTGTTACCTATTAAACAACACTTAACACCTACTCCTCATGTTCTTTTCCTTCCCCAAGTTTGAAGAAATTACCAATGCATTGTATTAATAAAGCAATATTTACAAAGCTGGTTATTGAAATTAACTTTATAATGACCCTCAAATTTTCATGATAAAAAATAATTTGTACTTATTTTTACTCATTCAAATAAACATGAGCAAATAAAATAGTCATAAACTAAATTCTATTAAATTTTCATTTGCAGTTCAGATATCATGTCTATAATTCATTAAGTTTATGTTAATACAGGTTGAACATATCAAATGCTTTAAAGCAATTTTAATAAGACACAGAATTGTAAACTCTTTTCAAACCTTCAATACAAATCTAATATTGACATGAAAGATTTCTAGTAATTCCGTCCACTAAACAGTAAATAATAAATCATGTTACCCAGTCTAATCAGCTAAATGTATTTTATTTGGGATTGTAAAGTTTAAATCAGCCCTGCCTTTACACAGTGAAAAGCTAAATTATACATAACTGTACTTAAAATAAAAATTTTAATCCTAAGATTTTAACATCTGTGATTCAGGTCTTTTAAATAATTCTTTTCAATTTTGCATTACAAAACATAAAAATAAGTCTGGCATTGTGACGATTTTAATTTTAAATATTTTTTACAATTTAGATTTTGTTATAACAACATTATACTATTTTAAAAGCATTATGTTCTCCAGGACCAAAGTTTTTGTTACTGTTCTGTTTTAAAGCTGAAATTATTCAAAAAACTGGTGACCAATAAAATTAGGGTATTGGACTGAAGTCAAACACTTCCATAAATCATACAATGTTGTTAACAAAGTCAGTGAAATCTTTAGTTTTACATGTACATGTACATTTAAAAATAAAAAATACTTACATTGTGTATCAGTTTACTTATACATGTACCAAGTGCCTTATTCTTATACTAAATGTTTAACAATACATTTTGTTCTAGAATCAACAATAACAAAACCAACTCTAGATAGGCATTTTAGTTGCTTTTAAATTTTCCTAAAAACATTTTGGAATGAAATGGTATTGGCATATAGATGGATGATATTAACCAGTTGAATTCCCTTCTTTCGAGTAGGTATATAAATTATCATTATAATAAAATTATGCAGTATATTCTTTTATTTTTACAAACCTCTGTAATAAGCCTTTGTAATGGCATCAAATTCTTCTTGTCCAGCAGTGTCCCATAACATCAAGCGGACATCTTCAGTGTTAACTCTACAATACAGAAGCACTGTCAGTATATTGTTCCTACTAATGTTGTGTTTAGATAAGTTCACTTTAATATGAATAGATGTACAAGATTTTAACAAACTGTATCATGAAACCTTTAAAATCAAAGTACACATAACCAATGATGGCATTATAGTTTCATTCTTGAAAATATGTGAAAATAGGGTCAATGATAGTTGCAAAACAATATAAGTTGTTTATGGATTACTATAATGGTAGTCAATGATCCACAATGTACAGTTCTTAAAGTCTTACCCTTCTGTTTCCTACATTCTCAACTTTAAAGATTACTATATGGTATTCAATGATCTACAATGTTACGTACAGTTATAAAAGTCTTACCCTTCTGTTTCCTACATTCTCAACTTTGAAGATTACTATATGGTATTCAATGATCTACAATGTACAGTTCTAAAAGTCTTACCCTTCTGTTTCCTACATACTCAACTTTAAAACAGACATCAAAATCAATAATAGCCAATTCTTTTCTGATAATTTTGCAAAAACTTCATTAAAAGAGTAAAAGAAAGTTGAGTGCCAATTTACTTTTATATTCAGCATATTATGGGACAGACAACAGATCATATTTGTATTCCTGTCATTGAAGGTTAGGTAAATAATGGTATAATATATAAAAAAAAAAAAAAATTCTTTTAAACATTTATTCATAAACTTTACATTATTTTTGACAGAATTTCAATGCAAATAATTTTGGGTTTTGTATTTCATCAATTTGAATTTAATTATCTAATATTTTATAATTGAATAGTGCTGATTAAGTGTCATTCAATTTACGCTGTGATATTTACTACAAATGTATATCTCTTTTAAATATAGTTCAGCATTATTTTCAATTACCTTTTAAAAAAATGTGGGCATAATTTCCATAATCTTAAAAATTGTTTACCCATTGAAAAAAAGGAATTAGTAAAGTAAATATTTTGCTTAATTCATATTCTGCAGTGTTAAACTAGAGGCTCTAATGATTGTGTATTGCTTATCTGGATCTATGGCTGATGTCCAACTCTATTAAACCTATTCAATCTTCTTAAAGATCAACAGCAACAAGTCTATCTCTTGACACTGGGATGTTTCATTGATCAAAATTTTACTTCTTACTTACATGGGAACGCTCTGTTTTCAGATGATTGAAATGAAAAATTAATTTTTATAAGAGAGACTCCATAGAGTAAATTATTCCTTCAAAGTCTGGTTTACACTAGCCATCTTGAGTTTCTTCATACGCATTCAATACAAAAAACAAGATATGTCAGAATGACACGAATGGCATCGCTCAGAAAAAAGCTTGAAGCCATTTTTAGGAGTGGAAATTTTCAAAGTCCAGATCCCGTAATTTCGGCAAAAATCAGAAAAGCCGAACCAAACATAAACTCTATTTGTAATTCATTATAGTAGAATCACTGTGACACATACCAAAAATCAGCTCAATATGTGAAGGTGTTTAGAAAAAATGTCTGTATAACTGTTATTTTCACGTCATTTTCAAAGTCCAAATCCCGTAATATTGGCAAAAATCAGCGGAACGGAACCAAACGTAAACTCAATCTGTAACTCATCATAGTAGACTCACATACTAAAATCAGCTCAATATGTGAAGGTGTATAACTGTTTGTTGCTGAATGACGGAAAGACAGAATGATGGATAAGGGTAAAACTATATGGCCCACCCTAAGTCGGCGGGCTATAATTATGTAATCTAAAATCATACAATTAGGTATAAAACTTACTCTATTTGTCTCTCTAGAAAATCCACTCCAATTGTTTTCTTATAATCCTTTGTAAATATTCCTTTACAATAACGCTGAATCATACTAGATTTCCCCACAGCCCCATTCCCCACGACAACTACTTTGATAGCCGTTTCGAATTCTTCTTCTCTCATCTTACCACCCAGTCATTTTAAATTTATAAATAAAACAAATGTATCTTTAACAACATCTATAAACAAACTGAAACAACAGCATGATTTAAAATGTTTAACAAACAGTGATGTCCAACGATTATAGGACCTTAGTGCACCAAGTTTCTGTAAATCTGAATTTCAATCGCACAAATTCCAGTGTAAATGCTGTAGCGGTTTGTAACCAGTGCTTATTTAGTATCCAAATCCAGTTTCTTGACAATCCAGTGTATCTCTTTTTACAAGATGAATCTGAAATGGAAAGTATTGTCAGAAAATAACTATTTATCCTGATGATGGTTCAAACATAAACTGTTATATATCTCTGCATTACATAAATAATTCTTAAGTAGGAAGTCTAGGTACATGGCTTAACACACCTTCTTTGTTGAGTAAGCATAACAATATAAAGTCGCAAGATCAAACTGTTTCCATCATCCTATGTTAAATCCTAGTCATTCATAACTACTGTGTTGACTTATTATACATTTCCAATTTCATGGTCTCCCACTTTCTTCATCATTTAAATGTTTATGTTCAATACAATTCAAGTCAAATCAATACACCCAAACAATCGGACCAAAAAATCTATAACATACCCTATATCCTATGAATGCATATCATAAAATTTCCCTTTCAAAACTTTAAAAGGTTTCATTGATTCACATTTAAAAAGGCAAAATACTTCTTTCACAATTGACATCTTCCTATTTCAGCACTTAATAATGCTGATTAAAGCCAGCTAATGGATAATATTTGTTGTTTATTTTTTACAATAGTGTATTTCATCCCACTACTATTCTACCCTTTACAAACAAGAAAAATCATGTCCACTTAATCAGATTAAATTCATACTTAACAATAGGCATTAATCTAATTTTTTTCTCCTTAAAAAATATAACATGTGTGCTGAGTCAGGCCTTACCTTCTCCTACTACTGTTTCATAAATATAAAACCTACCGGTTTTTAAAAAATATGAAAAGTTGAATTATACAGTTACACCAATTTACAGGTGTTTCAACTTGGACTGATCGAGAACCCTCTTGTTATAAATAAATTATGTTTACAGAAGCAGTGCCATTACAACTAATATGAGGTACTTTAAATACTATTTAATTCGATGACCATTTTTCAACAAATATTAATTCTAAATCGCTCTAAGTCGTTATCTTTTTGTAACCTCTTTATTTAGCTGAAATATATCCCAACAGAAGTTTTAACCTAGCAACAATCAGGTTACCCAGTTATTTCACACATTTGTTTTCTTGGCTAATACATTATTTCTTAATATTTAAAGAGACATGAAACAATGAAGGTTGTCTTTGACCTAGTAATCTTGCATAAAATAAAACAGCCCAAATTAATTTTCTGTGCAATTTATTCTATATTCAAAAAATATTCTGTATCTTGAAAGCTTTTAAGGTCCTATGCATACTAGGGTTCTAAAAATAAAGTATGAAGAAGGATACATTGTTAAATATAAAAGTACATTTTTTTTCTGCCTAAAAGCAAAATTAATGGCTATGATGACCCAAAATGAACCTTCAACTGGACATTTTTGCTCACTTTTGACTCTTTCACAGACTGCCACTGTGGAATCACAGAAGTCTAACAGTCACTATTTTTTAGACTGCACAAATTCTCCAAATTAACAACCTTTCCATCACATCAATGAGACAGCATCCAAATAATCCCAAAATCCATAAAGAGGTCACATTAGGTCTTCAACAACATATAAATGTTCATATAATGTCACCTGCACTTATTGAATCCATTTTACAATTTTTTTGTTTTTCAGGTGTACGATACAAGTTATTGAAATCTTTGGAAAAAGATAAAAATTTTACCTTTAGTTTGAATAAAAAATACTCCACAATAAATATAAAATCTAGGCTTCCACAATACAAATTCAAATGAATATCAGTTTTAAAAATTAAATTCCAGTAGGATTCAAAAATTTAAATTGCTATGAAGTGTCTTTGTATTTAAAGAGAGCCTTGTCTATTCCATATATATACATTACATACTAAACAATAAAACTATAAAATAATCCAATTTGTATGCTTAAGTCCTACTAACAAGCTATTATAATAAATAACAGCATTTAGTTGAGGAAATGTTAACAAATACTCCTGTAGAGATAGACAAATTGTCCTATTATAAAGACTGACTTGACTCCATTGGACATTTAATGGGCTATACAACAGAGGTCCTATAAGGAAACATTACACGCTAAATAATCTTTTAGATTGGTTGGCAAGTTTAAGACCAGACATGTAGTTCAGGTAAAGTAAGAATGGAGAGGAGGGCCTCAAACTGTGCCGAAGAATGTATTGCTGGTGTATATATATCAATGATAACTTTTTTATAATATCTTTGAACAATCTGCAGACATGCAATACAGTATTTATAAGTCACACCAGATTCCTTTATATTTTCTTGTCAGTTGTTTTCATCAGTTCTGAAACTTCCAAGCTTCCAATATTTTACCCGCATAAAGCTTTTCAAAAGCGCAGCTATCAAGTCCTATTTCTCTTCTGTCACGAGATTTTCCCATTAAATTCTGTACTGAGCAATATTTAGTTGTATGTAAATATATGATTCAATTTCTAATTCAAAATTAAATTTATTGTGAACATGTATTCTAAATTAAATTCTTTACCAAATAAAGTCTAGAGCAGAAAAGTAATAAAAGAAAGTTTAATAATTGAAGTTTAGTATTACCTGATTACATCTAGGTGTTATAATTAGATTACATTCCAATGGCACCAGAACAAAGGTAGAATAACGGCCAATATTCTTCACAGGTAAACAATCATAAAATAATGTTGATAAATACCAAAGTATTACAATGTGTTAATATCACCAGGAATAATTTGGACAGATAATGGAGTGTCCTAACATGTCCATATAAATACCATTTCACATAGATAGCCTGATGTTACGTTCACTAATATTCACAAATTCATGAAGTGAATCTTTACATGAGTTGTATTTTATCAACAGAGTTATCTGTATACAATCCAGGATCATCAAAGTTTTTAATATTGGAACGTTCTTGCTACCTGCGTTACTCAAAATTGCTTTATTGAACTGTAGTAGTATATTATTTTATCTACCACCACGAGCATACCATTCAATTTTAAGATCCATGGCATTCAGATTTTATACTATTCCGATTATATCTTAACTTTGTACAATCTAAATCTATACTCAAATATCTATACATAGAATTCTTTACATCTGACCTTACATATAATTCAACAAAAACTTAATTAACTCTATCTAATCAAGTGAGGATAGAATAGCTAATCTCTCTGTATGGTAAACCCCTGGGCTTGGAAGACAATTATTTTCTCTCTTAATGTGACATATTTTACATGAATATTAAAAGAAAGTTATAACCAACTGGCATTAAACTTTTAAACATTGAATAACAATCAACTGAAGCATAAATTCTAATAAAATGGAAATTTATTCATGACAAATTGAACATTTTTTTCAAATGTACTAAATTAACATTGATGTTTTAAATTATATTTGATCTCTTTTTTTTATTTCAAGTTATAAATAAGTAACAACAAACAGACAAAATTTATGGAACTTGTTTACCAGTGTATAGGTCTAAATCAAATCATACTTTTTATAAATAAACATTTAGATTTTATGACAGACAGGAAAGTACACAGACACTGTTTTCTTTTTTCTACTTCTTATTCAATATTATAAGTCCACCAACGCAACTTATCTTCATTACCAAGTAACAGCAAAAAAAAACATTGAGCTTTATTATCTATCATTATAGTTCCTTAACAACAACATAACATAATATGTCTAGTGATAATTAATTTATCTAGCAGTATACACTTTATATTTTGATTATTAATGTCAATTTTTTTCCTATCAATGTGAACATTTTCATTAGAACTGACATGTAACATTTATAGTGTTAAAATGTTTACATCAATTATGAAAGGTATGAGAAAAGTTCTTTCTGACATTTCAATTTCTGTCATTTTCAAATACATTACAAAAATATGGACCTTCACTTTTTATTTAATTTCATGATCGAGGCTTGATAGTTCAATGAAAATTTAGTAACCAAGAAAACAGTTTCTCAATTTTATTGTTTATTCTACATAATAATAAAAGCTTTTGCCTATCAAAAAAATCCTTAGTTATCATGTAGTGAGATGTAATTACAGATCTGTTTGATGTTTTTACAAACCCTAATGACTTACATGTTTATCTTGTTTAATACTGTGACAACATGCAATACACTTTCTGGTTTTAATTATTTGTTTCTATGATCCTACATTTAGATAAGCATGCTATCCTGGGGATTTTTGTTTGTCATATCCAAGATTATTAAGAACAAAATGACTGATGAGTGTTTTAAGATTGTTCTATTTAATATCAAGGCAGACACACATGTTTAACAAGAGTGCACACGCTGAAATGTCTCGCCTTCTTTACTAATCATTGATATTATGTTGATAGTCCTAAATATAAAGCTTTATTACAACTGTCACATAAACTTAACATTAACCAAGTAAACTAAACATTGACCAATGAACCATGAAAATGAGGTCAAGGTCAGATGAACCATGCTAGGCAGGCATGTACAGCTAACAATTCTTCCATACAACAAATAGAGTTGACCTATTGCTTATAGTTTAAGAAAAACAGACCAAAACATAAAAACTTAACACTGAGCAATGAACCTTGAAAATGAGGTCAAGGTCAAATAAAACCTGCGTGACTGCCATATAGATCATAAAATATTTCCATACACCAAATATAGTTGAACTATTGCATATAGTATAAGAAATACAGACCAAAACACAAAAACTTAACTATAACCACTGAACCATGAAAATGAGGTCAAGGTCAGATGACACCTGCCAGTTGGACATGTACACCTTACAGTCCTTCCATACACCAAATATACTAGACCTATTGCTTATAGTATCTGAGATATGGACTTGACCACCAAAACTTAACCTTGTTCATTGATCCATGAAATGAGGTCGAGGTCAAGTGAAAACTGTCTGAAGGGCATGAGGACCTTGCAAGGTACGCACATACCAAATATAGTTGAACTATTGCACATAGTATTAGAAAAAAAGAACAAAACTCAAAAACTTAACTTTGACCACTGAACCATGAAAATAAGGTCAAGGTCAGATGACACCTGCCCGCTAGACATGTACACCTTACAATCATTCCATACACCAAATATAGTAGACCTATGGCATACAGTATAAGAAAAACAGACCAAAACACAAAAACTTAACTATAACCACTGAACCATGAAAATGAGGTCAAGGTCAGATGACACCTGCCAGTTGGACATGTACACCTTACAGTCCTTCCATACACCGAATATACTAGACCTATTGCTTATAGTATCTGAGATATGGACTTGACCACCAAAACTTAACCTTGTTCATTGATCCATGAAATGAGGTCGAGGTCAAGTGAAAACTGTCTGACGGGCATGAGGACCTTGCAAGGTACGCACATACCAAATATAGTTGAACTATTGCACATAGTATTAGAAAAAAAGACCAAAACTCAAAAACTTAACTTTGACCACTGAACCATGAAAATGAGGTCAAGGTCAGATGACACCTGCCCGCTAGACATGTACACCTTACAATCATTCCATACACCAAATATAGTAGACCTATGGCATACAGTATAAGAAATACAGACCAAAACACAAAAACTTAACTATAACCACTGAACCATGAAAATGAGGCCAAGGTCAGATGACACCTGCCAGTTGGACATGTACACCTTACAGTCCTTCCATACACCGAATATACTAGACCTATTGCTTATAGTATCTGAGATATGGACTTGACCACCAAAACTTAACCTTGTTCACTGATCCATGAAATGAGGTCGAGGTCAAGTGAAAACTGTCTGACGGGCATGAGGACCTTGCAAGGTACGCACATACCAAATATAGTTATCTTATTACTTATAATAAGAGAGAATCTAACATTACAAAAAATCTTAACTTTTTTTTCAAGTAGTCACTGAACCATGAAAATGAGGTCAAGGACATTGGACATGTGACTGACGGAAACTTCGTAACATGAGGCATCCATATACAAAGTATGAAGCATCCAGACCTTCCACCTTCTAAAATATAAAGCTTTTAAGAAGTTAGCTAACGCCGCCGCCGCCGCCGCCGGATCGCTATCCCTATGTCGAGCTTTCTGCGACAAAAGTCGCAGGCTCGACAAAAAGCAATAAAATAAATGGAGTTGCATTCTGCATGTGGACCACCCTTTTTATTTGGAAAACAGACAAACATTATCTGACAGTAGAGAAATCTAACCATTCCTAAATTTTCTTGCTTCACCTTGATCACCCCCTCCCAAGAACCCAATTATAACAATCCTAATGACTGTTTTTTAACAAATAAATTCAATTGGAATATAAAGTTCAGCTTTTTGGAGTGAGTGCAAAGAGAGTTTCATTTGTATATTTGCAAATAGAAAATGTTTCTATAACTTTATATACCATACCAAAACCTCAGTGAAAAGTTTCAAGTCTAAATAACAATAAAACCTTAAAACTAACACATATGGCTAATTGTAAAAAGAGTAATTGTATAATCTGTTCATTCTCTAACTTAATCGTTGAACCATACTTTGATAATATTGTTCTTCTTTGTCCATGTCATTATTTATCTTTATGTATATGATTTAAAGACCAGGAAGATAAGATATGGTGCAAGACCACCAAACATGTCCAACATAAGGTCGAGTGGGCTTAGCTGATAATCACACTTGTATTCTGTCAAAAATCACTTATATTTGTTGACACAAAAACAGATGACAAGAAGATTTAATTATCGGTCATCTTGGCTATGGTTCTGGTTGATAGGTTTTTATGTTCTGGGTTATTTATCTATATTTCCTTTGACAATATCATATACTATACATATGTCTATAATGTTATGATTAAATGTCAAGATATATTATTCAAATAATTGTTTTTCCCATAAATAATTGATATAAGTAAAAAAAAAGATTACTCCCTTCAGGTTTCATTTATATGTATGTATTAATGTAAAACTAAATCATCAAGCTAGTACATGGTACACTATTGTATGCTCAAATATTAATTCTAGATTTTAGTAAACATTGACTTGATCTATGCAATGGAATAAATAGAAGATGGTCTTAATATTGTCAATTATAATAAAAAAATCTTTTATCCAATGAAAACATCATGCATCTCTCTAACAACAATACATTTTGCCTTTAGAAATTCAGATTGCATTTACAATATATTGCATTTGCATTAAAATTTAGTACAATTTACATGTAAAAGCTACCAGTTAAACACTCAGTACTTACTGTAGGGAATGTTCATCCGCTGTAAGTTTGTTCTTGCTCTTTGTTCAGTAACAGTACACTTTTCTAAAACAATAATAAAATTATCCCATTAATTTCATTATGTTTACACATAAAAGTCTTAACAAACAAGATACATGTATAATATCTCCAATATGTAAGTTATGCCACATTCATTACAATAATCTTAACTTACATGACTTATACATGTAAATGATTTTTTTTTTAAATTTATACCTCTCTACCTGTTTAAACATGTAAATAAATTATAATCTACTTGAAAAATGATACTCAACTTTATATAATTTGTTAAATCTGATAAAATTAACAAACAGCTTCTTAGTCATTAATTATTCAATAAATGGCAGTATTACATCCAAAGTTAAATCTCTTTGTTTATCTGTTACTTAATTAACTTAGATTTTCTATAGGCACAGACTTATGATCTGATTTATACTTTATCTCATTAAAAATAGGTCTGTTTCTTAATTATATAATTAGGCATACAATTTTCTTACTAGAGTATATTTAGAGTATTTAAAATTATAAGAGTGATCACACAGGATTTATGTTTCCCA